TTCACTGAGTTCTGATTCTTCTTTTCACCTACTTTAGACTTGATAACACTGGAGACAGTATTGTTTAAGTCTGGGGGATGTGGTAGTTGCTGACATTGTGTTTGTTTTGTGAGTCAGTTTGTTGTGTCAAAACCTGTTTTATTGAGTCAAAATTAGTTGGGAACTATGACCTTTCTCTTGATTGTTTGTGTTAACTATTATAGCTGAGTTCCCATTGCTGCATGATTAATACCAGTTTTTGATTAATGAAAAATCCTTAGACTGACCAATTAACTAGAAACATCCATAGTTCTAGCAAGTTCACTTGAGCTTCAAAATGACCTTTGCATTTAAAATGTCTTCAAAAATATACTATATTGCCAACCTTTGCATTTAAAATGTATGATGTTGTTATTGCTCAAAGTATCCTGCCAAAATAATACAAAAACTTTATTATTCACTGAGTATAATACTAGTTATCCACAGTTATACAATCAGTAATACCAAGTTAAACTTTATTAATCACTGATAGCAGTAATACTAGTTATCCATTGTTATACAATAAGTAATACCCAATTGTACCAAGCTATACTTTACTAATCAGTGATAGTAGTGACTAGTTATCCATAGTTATATAGTAAGTAATACCCAGTTGTACCAAGTTATACTTTATTAATCAGTGATAGACTAGTTTTTTATAGTTATACAATAAGTAACACCCAATTGTACCAAGTTATATTTTTTTAATCAGTGATAGTTGTGACTAGTTATCCATAGTTATACAATCAGTAATAAAGTTATACTTTATTAATCAGTGATACTAGTAACCAGTTTGCCACAGCTATACCATCAGTAATATCCAGTTGTACAAAGTTCTACATTGTAATTCTAGTTCTACCCAGTTGTTTTTCACAGAAACTCAAATTAGATGATTTTTGTTCAATTCATTCAAATCTACAATTGAATACGTTCAACTCAATTCAACCAACACATGCTATTTATTACCAATCTATAGTCCTAATCAATTAATAAATCATAGTAAAACACACTATATCCAAAGCATTTGAGCATTTGATTTTTAATTCTTTAAATATTATAGTTTACCTCAATTTACAAAATGCAGTCCATTCACTACAGTTTCTGACTTCCCACGACGTCGATGGAGGGATCCAGGATGGCGACGACGGAAGAACGAGCTCGGAAAAACCAGATCCGCGAGCTTCAGTTGTCGGCAACAATGGCGGAAGGGAGAGAGGAGAGTGGAGAGCTCGAGGAGAGTGAAGAAAGAGATAGTGTGAGATTTAAAAAAAAAACAATTTCTAATTAAATTCAGTAAGAGTAAAATCGGTAATTCAGTTATAAAAGGGATGTGTAGATTACTGAGGGATATAGGAGATTAGATTTTGAGAGAGAGGGGTATTTCAGATCATGTCTCTTCTTGGATTTCCCTCTGCATAGAGTTATCTCTCTTTTTTTCCTTTTTTAGGTTAAAGATTGTATGTTTATATGAGATTACTAAATTTTGGGTTTTAAAGATGTTGAATTTCAAAAAATATATATCATTCGATTATTATGGATAAGTAACTACCGTTTTATCAAAGCGATTGTTGGGACCCATTTTGCCGGGTCGAGAGTGAGCCTGGCACGAGGATCTAGACTGCACTAGACACTGACACATACCACGCTATCTCGGCCAACCCACTTCCGCGTATTGTTCCGGTGTAGTTGGCGAAGTTCCCCAAACACACAAGCATCATTACCCTCACCTGCTCCCCTGACATGTCGAATGGAAGAGACAAGACATAGGAGCCTGTGAGTCTAAATAAGAAGACATCACCACGCAGAAGAGGAGGGACTGATCGGATGTAAAAAACCCCTTTAGAAGAGGAGGTATCTACGTGTATCTGAATCAGTCGGTCCGGGCAAACAGCACGATCACAGGTAAACTCCATGTTCTTCCCAGGTGAATGACTATCAGGTTAAGCCATCCCTAACCTGGAACCTTGCCTTCATACTCGCTCTGTCTTCTTTTATCGTATACAATCCCCTTTGAAACACCCGAAAAATATATAGAAACCTCGATCTTCGGACGAGACTTCTCACACTAACCCATAGAAATCTCCCCTCCTGAGTACTTGTTCCCGGTAGGATGTCACTTGACCTGGGGGTCGCAGAACCTTCGGGAGGGAAACCCCCTTTCGGGCTTCCCGAAGGCCCGTCTGACCTTTCCTTGAGTGTTTACAGGATGGAGCACGACATTCATCCCGTCACCCTGGCATCAGAAGCTTCTGCCCCAGAACAACTTGCCGCCTTTCTCCTAGAAGACGAAACTCGAAATCACACACCCCTACGTGGCATCCCGAAATTTGTTCCCGAACAGCGGTCAAGACTTTCTCTTCTTGGGTCAAACAGCGGTTAAAGACTTGAGAGTTTATTTTTGTGGAAGAGAGAGAAGGTAACGGTTTGTGACAAACGGTTGAAAAATTATACTCCTTCCGTTTTAAATTAAGTGCCATTTTAAAATTTTATTTTTGTTTCCTAAAAAGTATCACTTTAAGTTTTGAATAAATATTCTATTTTAATTTTTGAATTTTATTGTTTTAATTAGCAAGAAAATGTTATTATATGTATAAACAAAAGGTAAAATAAAAATTTTAATGGTTTTTTAATTTATTTGAAAAGTGTCAAAATGACACTTATTTAGAAATGAATAGAGTATTTTTTAAGTGTTAATAAATACTCCCTCCGTTTAATAAAAAGTGTTATTCTGACATTTTTCACACAAATTAAGAAAACTTTACGAATGTCTATTATGTCCTTTGTTAATACACTAAAACAGTTTGTCTCTCTAATTAATAAGCTAAAATTACAAGGATAAAACTGAGAATAAATGTTAAAAAAACTGCATTGAAAACATAAAATGACACTTTTTATGAAACAAAAATAAAGTGTTAAAGTGACACTTATTTTGAAACAGAGAGAATACAAAAGAAAAATCCAACTATACTAATTACAAAATTTCTGGCTTTTTTGTTTTCGTTTCTAACCGTTATTTTTTTAAATTGAACTATTAAGGTTATGAATATAAATATTTTAATTTAACAAAAAAATAATATATTTATAAATTTGATTACCCTTTATCTTCAACGTAATGGAAAGTAGAGAGGAAACGAATATGATCCAAGTCATAGAGAAAATCATGAGGCAGGTGAAGAGGACCATGTGTTAATAAGAACTCCAACAACACCATTGCCTTGTAAGCTTCCCTCCCCTTCTTCATCTCTCCTTCTCCTTTCCCTAATCTGTTTTTTAATCATTTTAATTAGTAAATGTAATCACCACCAGAAACATAACAATCACTCACTAAAAGTACACAATAGACGAAGTAAGGAAGGAACACACAAAAAAACTTGAAATTCAATAAAATCAACTTGTGATTATAACTAAAAAAACTTGAAAATTGAGAGATAAAATATATAATATAGTTGTGTTTGCTTTCCTTTTAATTGTGTTGGAAGAATAAAATGTATGAGAGGTAAATTTTATAATCGTTTTTGATACAAACACATAAATATGGTTACATGGTTGAGTTAGGTAAACAAAAATGATATGTAAATTCTTCACGTGTTGAGTTTGTATTTAAACATTTAAGAACGGGTGGATAGTAAGTTTGGTATTTTACCAACCAAAATGTCTTGGGATCCTCCAAAGTTTTTCCTATATAAACCAACATTTTGAATTCTATGAAAATATACTAAATTGAAATTCTATTCATAAGTAAAAAAAAGAAATGGGTTTAAACAGTATAGTTACATCGGTTCTAATGATATTTTCACTTATACTAAGTGTTTCGTCTTTGAGTGCAGGAAGAAAGATGTTCATTAATCATGCTGATTGTTTCATTGCAATCAAAAATGTTGATGGATGCGTGGATGCCATTAACGGTATATTACGTTGGGATTTCAGTCACCTAAAGCATGCTGGCCCATAGTGTTCCCAAGACAGCCTCTTGTTCACATGATGAGCAAAAGAAAATCAAAGAAGACTGAAGAAGAACCTGTTGGACGACTCTCAAAAACTATATGATTTACTTAATTAAAACAAAAAGCATAATCATTCACTTAAAGTTAAAGCGAATTCTATTAAGCATATGTCTAACTAGTAACTACCGATTTTAGTTTCCTGGCCGTTTCATAATTATTGACCCAAATGGACCATATTTTTTGTGTCTCGTCGTCTATGTCGCATGTGCTTTCTTGAGAGTGTCCATTGATATACATATATATCATCCTTGATTTCAAAGATTATGTACTTCCAAAAGAATCGAATCATTTAGGCTTTTTTTTATTTCTCCTTGATAGATCGATATCAGTAGTCATGCTGGTGTCATCAACTCATCAATGACATATGTCAATGTTATTTTAAAATTTTACACGTGCCAAAGTTTTAAATTATGTATTAGAATTACATTCTACATTTTTAAAGAAACGCAGGAAAAGAAAATTCAGTTTAGCTTTGAAATTTCAAACGATTAAATGATGACAAAAAGTACTAATCTAGTGTTTTGTAAGGAAAAAATATTAATAGAACGGAGACATCTATGGTTTATCACAGCAGCAAGTTGTATAAGATTTCTACATATAGTGTAAGTATAATCCTATTAACAAGATACTCCTAATTATAGCTATATTTTTGCCCATGATTTTATCGAGCGTCTCCATAACTATTTTTAATATGATATAGGGTCCATACACGCAGTACTCTTGTTATAATGTCCCATGCACGTACGTGATCTTTGTCATAGATCTGTGATCCAAATATAGTTTGACGAGAAAAATGATCCATCTCTAAAAATAGAACTTAGAGTAGAGCGAATAGCCATAGAAATTTTTACAAATCTCTTTTACCATTCGTGGACGACCATTGATTTTTTGTCCATTTCATTCACTTTAATAGCTAAAATTAGACTTATAGAACATCTATATAAATTGAGTTCCCATAGAAAGTATATATAATCACACAAAAACTGAAAAAAAAAACTAATAAACTTTCTTCTATATATTTAAGAATAAAATGGCAAAAAAAGCATTAATGATATGTCTAATGTTACTTGTTGCATTAAGCATTGTCTATGAAACGCAAGCAACATTCTCATTACCCCCACTACCTAAAGAATTTCCCCAAATTAGGCAAAGAATTTGAGCCTTTTGCTTTCAAAGGTATGTTGGAGTTCAGGGGTGATCTGGAGGGAAAATGTCCAAAGAACACAAAGTTCAATGATTTTTTCATAAAACTGAAGGATTACATGGCTTGCTTCGATTCCACATCACCCGATTCAAAAGATATCCAAGTCCAGCTGACAATAAAATCTGAAAGCCTCTTCAGGGCTATGTCTGCTTTCAATGGAACAAAAGGCGGAACATCAGTAAGTTTCAACCAAATAGTATATGTTAACACTCAAGAATGTTTGTCACACACTTTAAGTGGAAAATGTTTTTTTCTTCTTTTTCGAAGGATAGGAGGATTCATGGAGGCTGGTGGATGGTGGATGGGTTGTTGTCACTTGGAAAAGTTTTGGTTGAGATGAAGAAGAGCGGTTCCAATGAGATAACTTTTGAACAAAGAAGAGAAATGATTCAGTCTATGGTGAAATGGACTCGAGGGACCGGTATATTCGTGAAGATGGCCTCTGAGAATGAAGGACGCTCTATTGATTTATCATCTTTTGGAATCGATTATGACACTAACAAACCTTCTAATTCTAAAAGATCTCTTTCTGAAACACGAGGAACCTTCTCATTGCCCCATTACTTGAAGGATCTTCCCAAAATAAGCAAAGATTTTGAGCCGTTCGCTTACGATGGTATGTTGGATTTTCTGGCTAGCCTTGAGGTTAGGTGTCCTGCCACAACAGAGTTCAAGAATTTCTTTGCAAAGGTAGAGGAATACATGACATGCTTCAAGTCCGGATCAAGAGACAACATCAAGGTCGACATCTCAGACAAATCCGAGGGGCTCTTCAGAGCTATGTCTTTATTGGATGGTGGTAAAACTGGAACATCAGTAAGTTAATAAGACATGAGCATGCATTTTTAATTTTCTTTTTGCCTTGGTGTTATATGAAAAGATTATTGTGTCTTTTTTTTTATCAAAAGGTGGAGTCGTGGAGAATGATGGATGGTATGTTGTCTATTGGAAAGCTTTTGGCTGAGATGAAGAAGAATGATTCGAAAGATATAACTTTTGAACAAAGGAAATAAATTATCGGAACTATGGTGAAATGGGCTCGAGCTATCGGTCTCTTCGTGAAGACAGCCTCTGAGAAGAAAGGAAAATCTATTGACTTATCATCTTTTGGAATTGATTATGCAGCTTCTCCTTTCAAAGGACCTACCGGTGAACTGTAGAGACAACAAACCTTTCACTTCCAAAATTGTAAAAAAACTGTATATAAATTAAAATATTATATATTCCAGCGGTGCGTGTACTCCAACACAAATTTATGAAGATTTACTTATATGTGGGGGCTCTCTTACTCTTGGTACTCCATGGGAACCTCCACTTAATAATTGTTGCGAAAATATACGAAAGAATAAGATGAAATGTATATGCCAAAGCGTCACAAAATTTTTTATGCAAGTCTATGATGTAAATAAGCTTCCCAAACTCTCGCAAGCTTGCGGCAACCTTTTAGTCCCGGGCTCTTATTGCGGACGTAAGTGTTATTAGACTTACTCTCTTGACTTTCATAATTTTAATATATATTTTTTTTATAATTTTACTCATTTTGTTTAAAATTATCTAATTTATATTTATATTATTATTGTAGTTTATAAAGTTCCTGGTGGTGCATGATAGCAAAAAAAACGTGTTGAAACAATCTCTCTTTTCCGTATCTAATCTGTTTACTAGAATAATTAAATTTATTGCTGGAAAGAGAGTATTACAATAATTATGTTATTTCTATAATATTGTATGTGGCTAAGAATAATGAAATATAAATTGGGGTTTTTTAATTATAATGTTCTTTTTTAATAGTATAATATAGGCTAAATTGCTGGTTTCAATAGACAAATCTCATTAAAGAGCAATCTCATTAAAGAGCAATCTGTGACATGACAAGAACTTATGTGAATATTTTTTTCATAACAGAAAAAAAGAAACATATAAGAACATATTTTTTTACGTTCATTTAAGCATGGCGTTGTGAAGAAAAGGGAAAGAGTAAAATAAAAAAAAAACAGTAAAACTTTAGAAGCAAATTCACTAAAATTGACTGAAAATTTGACTTACCACTTGTCATTAGCTTCTTTTCTAGCCGATTCTAGCCACCATGTAAGAAATCCGAACGCGATAAACGACCAACTCGCTGAAAATAGAAATATCTATGAACTTCTACTTTTTAATAGTCAATTATAGAGTTTTTGGAAAGAAAATAGAGAGAAAATGAAAGAATAGAAGCTTATGCGGAAGATAATGAGTTATGCAAGCTCAAAGATAGATTTTTGATGCAATTAAAGCTCAAAAATGGTTAAAAATGGTGGTTGGATGAATTGATGATGATGGCATTTTTGTAAATAAATGAGGAAATTAAGGATTAGTTGGTCATTTGGATTTTTGAAAATTAAAAAAATTAATTTAAAATAATGGCAATTTCACGAATAATTGAACATATGAAAAATTTATTTGGGAGAAAATGGCAAATTTTAAAGTGGACAATTTTGAAGGTTAGATTTGCGATTGAAACCAAATTTAATGTCATATCTGCAACTATCCCTAACAATTACTCCTACATTTATATTTATAAGATCTTTAAAGAAAACAAAATTGGATTAATTTTCTTTCTACCACTAATATATATATATATATATATAATAATTAAAATTTAAAAAAAATATTTAAATATTTAAAATATTATAATTTTTATTTAAACTGAAAAAAATTAAAAAAATAAAGGTAATTATTATGCATATAATATGCTTTTGATTTTTATTATTAAATCTATTAAAGTTCTAATTTTATATTTTCTCATAATAATATATTTTGTTGTTTTTTAATTGTATAATATATTTATGTTGTTATTTTGTTGTGTATCCATCGGTCAACTAGTCAAAAATATCTCATAAATACACCTGTTCTCAATCGTTATACCAGTCGTACAAACCGCTAATTAACGCTGATAATTGCAACCGCATGTTTTCGCAAATTTCCACATCCACAACCGCAACCACTGCGTTTACACCAGTCATGTTCACCTTTAACCTCCGTTGTAATATGTATTTTCCTTTGTCAAACACATGGTATGTACTGTCTTTGCTAATCAGACATTGAAAACCATCTTGTAACTGAACTTCATCGTTACCCAAATTTACATATGAACATGGTAATTCCTCAAAACCGTCCAATGTTCTACTGCAAAATCTATGGTTATGTTCTAAGACAGATATTGGTACCTGAGATTGTGGAACACAAGTAAGCATTGTGTATGACTCAGTGATCTCATGGGATTCACGCTCATGAGTGGATTCAGTATTCATAATAAATTTTTTTTTTTTAATATTATCACAATAATTTTTACGTCGTGAATTAATACTGATTCGAACCCTCTATACTAAAATGAGAGAATTCTTGCCTTTCTGTGTATACATAAAGGATTTTTAGCCCAAATCTATCAAAATTATTTCTTATCAGAAGAGAAGAGACAAAAACCACACTGACACTATAAAAAAATTGTTTATAGCTATTACAAATTTAGTTGTAACTATGGTTGATTATTCGTAGCTATTTGGGTATTAGCCACGACTTTACACAACACAAATTTGTGGTATTGAGTTCGTAGCTATCTGGCATTTTTTTCGCTATTCGTAGCTATGATGCCACAATATAAACAAGACTAGATTTGTGGCTAATACATATTACCACGAATAAACATATTTCAATTGTGTGCTATAAATTATTTATAGCTAATATATATGAACACAAAAAAATTATATATTTGTTCTCAAGTAAACATAAATTGTTGAGTGTAATGGAAAATTAAAAAATTAAAATAATTAAAATACACAAAATTAAATTTAATTTTGTTTTTTTTTAAACTGAAATCAAACATTCATTAGCCGATTCATGTATTAGCTGATTGGAAAAAATACCTAAAATAGTTGATTACATATATAATAACCGATTAAAAATATCAAAATACCTAAAATACCAGAGTTAATATATCACATCATTATTCCATGACACCTTAAAACTGAACACCTTAACTTTAAAGGTGAACATGGAGGTTGGGTTGGATTGTGTGTTTACTCACTTGGACATGAAGCAGCTTCGGTGTCCTCATCACGTGGAACTTGTTGATGTGTTACCAAATTGGCTCTATTGATCTGCAAAAGCACTGACATCGCTTTCTTCATGTCTGCAGATTCATTCCTTAGCTCGCCTATGTTGGCTTCTATACTAGCCATGCGCATTTCTACATCCATGTTCCTGCGGAGGGACGCACCAGCAGACTCGTTGGCAGCAACACCAACATACTGAATCGATCCGAGTTCATACACACGCCCTTTGTTGTTCATTGCAACCTGCAAAAAGAATATAAAAGTAATTGTTTAAATTTTATGTAACAATCACAACCCATACAATAATCTGAAGCCAACAACTCAAACCAGATCAATAAAACAAAACAAGTGTAACAAATAATACACGACACCAAAATTGTTAAGAAAGCAAGTCTTAAACAAGAAAACAAGTCTTACTAATTACACATTTAATCATTTGTAAAGCAAGTAATTATAAATTCTAAACGATTACCTCTATGTAAGCATTAGTAAGCTATTGCGGGGTAGGTTCAGTGACAGCTGATTCATTCTGGCTGCCCGGATTTGCTGCTTCTAAGCGCTGATTTGCTAATGCCTCAGCAGATTCATTCTTGCTGACCGGATTTGCTGCTTCTAAGCGCTGCCTTGCTAATGCCTCAGCAGCAGCTACACGAGCTTCTGCTCGCTTGTCAACGAAAGTGCCATTACGAGCGTGTATCCTTCACATCAATTCAGTTGCTGATGGTTGTACTCCACCATTCTCAATCGTCTAAGACAATAAATGTGTTGATAAATAGAAACTCAGCATTTTAAAAAAATAAATACTTTAAATTAGATGGAAATAAAACTAAACTTACCATATCATGAGCCACACGTGTGCAATGTTTTGCTCATGAAATGTGGCGGTAAATGCCATATCCATCTGGATCTAAAGAACGGTTTTTAAAATTGGTTTGGCTCTTGTTCTTGTTTATAACCTTGACCCAAGCCGCTTCCATTAGAGTCCAATCTGCTACACCAAGGTTGGTTTCTTCCTATTTCTCCTCCTCTTGCTAACCAGATTGCCGATTGAATGCTTCAATGTACGTTCCCACCATGAGAGAACATAATCGTGATGCTCTTGTACCCGAAAGTATTTTTGCTACAATAAATAACAGAAAAACAAAAGTATTAAAAGGAAGTAAGAGAGACAAATGTAATTATATTAGTTACAAACATAGGTTAAAATTTAACTTATCACAAAGCAAATCCACCATGAATCCTTCTTAGACTGTAGACCATGGTAAAGGTCCACCATGGTCCCCAAAAATCTAATTGCCATGTTGCTACAATGTTCTTCCGCATGCAATCGTCAATGTCAAACCTGAAATTGAAAGAAAAAAAGATATGACTAAACAGAAATCATAGACTGTGAACCATGGTTGTAGCCCATATCAAACATATTCCTGGCTAAAGCTGTATTCTGCAAAAGCTATGAAGAGAGTTGAGGAGACTTCTTGTATTGACTTGTCACAAGTTGAGGAGACTTCTTGTATAGTTTTGGTTATACGTATATAGTATATTTTAAGCCTGCTACAAATAGCCCCAAAATGTATTCGTATCCCAACATCAAATATCTTTACCGACATAACTTAGCTACAAATTGTCATGTTATAATTTGTGTCTAATTGATCAAATTTTAAAATTAGTGGGAAAATTTGAAAGCTACAAATTTGTTTGTGGATATTTGTGGCTAAATGGACACAAAACACATTAGCCATAGCAAATTAGACACAAATTTAATTATAACATTTATTCGTGTCTTTATATTCATGAATTGTTTATGTTTTTAAAAATGTGCCTATTTTGATATAGCTACGATGATGCCATGGTTAAGTTGTAGTTACATACATTTTTGTGTAAATCTAAATTTTATCTGTTCAGACCTCAATCAAGTTCTACTGTGCACAATGCACAGCAATTAAAATAATGAAATACTAAAGAATTGAGAACTGTTTAGATTTGGCCAATATTAATGATAATTACTCAATATAATCAAAAAATATATATCAAATTGCTTTTTTGATCAACATAGTTTTTTTATACAATGAAAAAAGAATTTTATTACTGAATTGGGTGTAATAAATTTGCCACATAAGCTAACCAATAGGGAACCATCAAAGATACATCTGAAAAAAAGGACCTCGAATTCAAGTTCCTTTGGCGAGAGCATCTTTGATGTTATATTCGGCCAGTCCTTATATCCTTCCATAATTTTAATCAATTACAGATAATCTGTCCAAAGTAAAAAATTTTAACCAATTTAAGTTTACTTTAACTATAATGTAAAAATATTATGAGAAAAAATAAAAATTATAATGTTCAAATATATTTACCTTTTTCAATAATGTTAATGAGTATTATCATTTGTATAATCTTCTACATACTTAGGTATTAATTAATCTCATCTTCCACTTTACAACATTGTGTTAATATTTTATCTTTTCTGCTAATTTTATTTATTGAATATATTGTCAATTTCTCTAGATATTTAAAAATATTATTATCTTCTGTTGAGATTTTTTTTTTTTTTTTTGTTGAGATTTTGTTAATTTTGTATTAAATGTAAATAAGACTAAATGTTTAGTATGGTAGGTAATTGGTAAATTAGTACTTTTGTGTTGTGCTTAGATATATTGTTTGTTTTTATAT